CCCGCACCCTCCGGGACTTTGCCTCCGTCCCTCTTTGCCCGCCCTGCGAAAGGCGCCAGGACTTGGATGTGGTCGTTGATGGACTCCTGCGCCGTCGAACGCGGGGAGGGGAGGCGCGTGAGGAAGACGGGGAGGGAGGGGAGGAGGGGAGGCAGGAGAGAGGGGAGAGAAAAGAGAGCGGCAGGAGGTCGCGAAGGGCAAGACATGCAAAAGAGGGGGACGGACGCACCACGGGGATTTCGTCGACCCGGTCGCTCTCAAAGAGCTCCCGCAGCAGGCACTTGGCCCTGTCCTCCACCTTGGGGAGCAGCTCCTGCGGGGTCCAGTACCACCGGACCTCCATCATGGCCTCCCCAGGCGCGGAGGAGGCGGAGAGGGAGGGGGAAGGGGACTGAGAGGAAGCACGGTCGTCGTTGTCGGTGGCTTCGGAGTCGGAGGCCGCCTGCTTGGAGAGAGAAGGGTTAGTCAGGCCTAGGCAGAGACTGCTCTCTCCGTGGTCGCCCTCTTTCCTTCCACGGCCCCCGCCCTTCTCCGACCCGTTTCGCCTTCCGCCCTCCTGAATGGCGCTACCCACCTCCTGTCCCTCCGAGGCCCACCAAATCCACAAAATTTCCGCAAAACCGCGCGGAGCCTCCTCCGTCCCAGACCCCGCTAGCAGGACCTCGACGCAGTCTCCCATCCGAAAGACCTGCCCCTAGTTCACGGGAAAGACAATAAGGGGCCATTAATTAGTCTATCTGTCCCGTGCACTCATGAAGCGACGGGCACATGGCAGTAAATTCCGCCGTTGACTCCTCTCCTCCCTCCTCCTTTTTCTCCCCCCTCCCTTCATGTCAATGCCCTCCACTCCCTTTCGAAAAACTCTCCCCCTCGCAACAAGCTTTCTCCTCCATACCTGCCAGCGCACCGACTCGTAGAATAGGTCCCCCTCCAGCCCCTCCCCTATATAGTTCAAAAGCTGCGGTTGACCGTCATCGACCTCCTCAACTTCCTCCTTCTCCTCTTTCCCTTCCTCCCTTTCCACCTTTTCTTCTAGTCCTTCCACCCCTGGTTCCATCTGAGTGGATGTTTTTTGAAATAATCTTATAAATTTTCGAAAATGACTCCATTTCGACCTGCTTGCACGGTCATATGGACAGTGAGAACGACAAGGAACAAAGCAACCCTTAGGTGCCTACCACGACCAGGGACATAAGAGGCTGCGAAAAAAGTGATCAAAATATGCCAGCCTTCCCAGTGCATCCAACCCTAGTCAACCACCCCTTGTGAGGACGGATGTATTGTTTTGGCCCAATTGTCGTGGTATGTCCTTCGAAAAGACGGCAGTGCCCTCGGCTCGCCGACCCCCTCCAGGCGACGGCAAGTGCAGTGAGGTGGCTGCATGCCTTTACTACACGCCTGCTCCCTCCACTTGCAAGCATGTTCCGCGTTTTGCGTCACTTTTGCCTAATGCTCGTCTTAAATCTCACGACACTGCACGCACACCTGTCGTCAGGCTTGCTGAATCCAAGAAGCGAGGCTTTGCGACCATTTAATCGACTGCAGCACCTCCCCACCTGCCTACCCCGAGATCGGTTCCGCATGTGGTGTGCAAGGAACTAGTAGGAACATAACAGAGAGCTCACACAAGCAGCAGTGGAATTCCTGGGGAGAATGAAGCGGTCCTCAAAGACTAGGCCGGGTGGCCGTGAGGAACGGCACGCGCAAGCACACGTAATTGGTCCCCTACGGCCCCTCTTCTCCCTTCTCCTCCTTGCAGCAACATCGACTCAGGCGTTCCAGTATCCCTCACAATGGCAGCGTCGTCCTCTCCACCAGCCACATCCCAGGCAGCAAACAGCGCCTGTCGCACCTCTGCGTGGTCTGGGAGCGTCTTCTACGCTATCTAGGAGGAGTCGTTCCTCCCTCCCTCCTTTCTCCCCCTCCCCCTCCCCTCTCCCCTTGGCCGCATCCTCCACCTCCTTCGAGCCCCTACGTCCAGCTTATGACACCAACAGTACCTCGTCATCGTCATCTGCGGTATCTGCGCCTGCGGAAACCGTCGACAAGAAGGGCAGCAAGGCAATGCCGACGGCCTTCCCCCCCCAAATGCTGGGCGAGGAGGAGCTTCTGGTGCGAGGGCCTCCTCCGCCCGCCGTGGGGCCCATGACTAAGGTATCTTCAACTTAAGAGTGGCGTGGAGACGCGCGGATGGTCGTTGACGGGTCTGGGGTGGGGTCGTGGCAAATGCCCTTCCGGTCCAGGCACCTCGTGGCACCGCGTCCGCTCCCTGTTTGTCCTTTCCTTTCCATCGCATCGTGCCAGCCACGGCCTGTTTGTGTATCACTCTCCCGCTCTGTGGCACCGTGGGATGGGATGTCTCCCTCCCTCTCACCCCTGTGTCTCGGTCCTTCCCCCCCTCTCTCTCCCTGCCTCCCCCAGGAGGCTTTCGCCCAGGCGCGTATGGAGAGCGAGGTCGCGGCGAGGGAGGCGGCGGCGGTAGTGGCGACCTTTCTGGAGGCAGGGGACGACCGGG